CAGCAGGAAACCGCCTGTGGACTGTCCTCTGTTCAAAGGCCAGCTTGTTAGAGACTCGTGGAACTATGAGTGTTCTGGAAGTTGTCTGAGCCTCTTCGTTGCTTCTCACAGAAATACTGAGAGGCCAGGGTCATAAAACAGATCTGTGCTAGCCTAGGGTCTGTGTTCACTTACTCTGTGAAGCAGTACATCACGCTGGCTGACTATTGAACGCAGAGCCCCACAGGCACTGGGATTTGGTTTCTTGGTGCTGTAAGTGTGCGGGGGTATTGATGGAGGCCCACTTAGAGGTGTTTAGCTTAGAGCATTTATGAGTACGTGACAGTGGGTTAATTTTCATGGGAATTCAGTTTGCCACAAAATGGGTCACAACCTAGACCGTCCCCACCGCCTTGCTGTCACTGAGGACTGTTGGGATGTAGATTTCAGCTCCCTGTACTGAACACAGACCTCGAGCAGCGGAGCTCCGTGGTGACTGAGCTGCCCCCCTGCACACAGTTCAGCCCCGTCCTAGCACTCTAGCAGCCTCCCCTGCTCCTTAGTGTGTCCAGGAGGAATGTGGAACATACGCGAGCGGACGGAGCGTCTCACTTGCTGCTCTTTACCGATTTCAGGCCTTCAGGAGAGGAAGGAGACAGTCCGTGGTGTGTACTCGGTGATTGACCAGCTCTCTCGGACTCATCTCAATACCCTGGAACGCCTCATTTTTCATCTAGTCAGGTAACTTCAAGAGGCAGGGGGCTGTCTAGTAGTTTGCTTTTTTACAGAGAGATTTTTGTTGTAGGGTATGTGCACTCGCCAGAGAGATTAGAAAGCAAGAAGTCACCCCCCCAGAGGGTATACCCACACCACAGTCTCTTCTCCTCCATTTTCCTCTCAGGATTTTGGGCACACACACAAATCCACCCAGTGAGTTTGAAGCCACCAGGCCCAGGACTCAAACCGCAGTCAGCCATGTGATAGTCTAGTGACATAACCATTGTATCATCTGCTGGTCCCTCTTCGGGATTCTTTTAAATAAATGAAAAGACCTTCCATTTGGCATACTGACAGGTGTGCGTATTCTTTGCTTCTGTTGGTGAAGTCCCCTGAGCTGGACTGCAGGTCAGGTCCTTCTCTGCCGTCACTCGAGCCACGGGAGGCTTCCTCCTCGTAGAGCTGCTGTGACTTAGCCCGTCACCAAGCTCCTAAACTGCAGAGGCTGTGAAGCTGCTAACCCCCCCTAATTCATGGGAGCTGGTTTGGATCACGTGCCAGAGTTGGCCGATCACGGTTTTAGGAGCCGCCTCTCATGCCCTGTATGTAAATATCAGCAGTAGTTGGGAAGACTTGGATGAATACCTCATATGACCGTCTCAAAATGCCTTAAAGTCTCGGGAACCAGCAGTTAGCGTAATGGCTATGTCGCTGGACTCCCACATAGTCGACCACGGTTCGTGTCCCGGACCCGGTGGCTTAAAACTCACGCCGGGCGCGTGTGCGTGCATGCCCAAGATCCTGAGAGGAGAATGGAGGAGAAGGGATTGCGGCGTGACCATCCCCCCTGGGGGGTGATTTCTCGCTTTCTGTCCCTATGTCTCTCTCTGTCTGTCTGGCGAGCGCACGCGCCCTACAGTGAAAATCTCTCCCAAAAAAAAAAAAAAAAAAAAACCCTTAAAGTCTCTGCTCTGCAGTCTTCAGACTGCCCTTCCAGTTGGGTTGGCTTTGAGCAGTGGATACTGAATTTCCCTCCCCACGCTGTCTGCCGACCTGAACTGCTTCAAGGAAGAAGCAGAGGGAACATACCCTTTCCAGAGAGGAAGACACAGCTTCAGGGAAGTGTCCAGTGTCACGTGGACAAGTGGACATCCTTCTAGTGTTATCAACCAGGGTCACACGGTCTTCCACTCATCCCTTCGTCCTCCCTCCCTACTCCTATCTCTTTTCACTGTTTTGGTTTGTTTTATTCCTTAGAATTGCTCTGCAAGAAGACACTAATCGGATGTCTGCTAACGCTTTGGCCATTGTGTTTGCGCCCTGCATTCTCCGCTGCCCGGACACCACTGACCCTCTGCAGAGCGTGCAGGACATCAGTAAGACCACAACGTAAGGCCAGCCGCCCTCACCCCTGCGCGACCCCAGGGCCTTGGACCATGCTGTCATTCTCACTTTATTCAGATGCCACCCGTACTGGATGAGCCTGTAATTCAGGAGTTCTTAAGATCGCTGGGTATATGTTAAGGATGGAAGCTTAGATTTCATTTAACTGAGCATCGTTAGCTTTAAAGGCTCTTACATTTTAAATCTGGCTTTTTTTTTTTTTTAAGAATTTTTTTTAAGAATTATTTTATTTTATATATTTGTACATTTATTTTTTAATTTGACCAGAGAGAGGCAGATGTTGAGAGTGAGAGAGAGAGGAAGAGAGAAAGTAAGCCACCAGATTCAGGACTCGAACCCTGGTCGGCCATGTGGGAGTGTCCAGCGCCTTAACCACCACACCAGCCGCTGGTCCCAAATCTGGCTTTTTTTAGAACTGCTTGTATATCCTAAATAGACTTTAAAATTCCAGTTTGACAAATCATACGTACTTTGTATCTCCCTGTAATCTGGTTTTGGTCTTGGCTCTGGGTCCCTTTGGTTGTAATACTTCAGTATACCTGCATTTCACTTGGGCCTTTTGTTCTGGACCTCTGCTTTCCTTCCATGGCAGTTTTCCTCTGCTTCCTTTCTTAATGTTGAGTGTAAAAGGAGCTTTAAAAAAATGCTATTTCTTGGACCCCATCTCCAGAGCGTCTGAGTTACTCTGGGGCATAACCTGGACACGCATTTTGAAGCTCCCCTTAGACTGTTTTTAAAGTACAGCCGAGTGGTAAACCACCATTCAAAATCTTGTCTCTGAGCTCGTAAAGTCAGGGCTGGCGATCTTCCCTTTCCCTTTTGGAAGCCAGTCTGGGACACTACACTTGGATTTATTTCCGTTCTGACCACTTTTCTCCCCTCTGTTCCAGCTGTGTGGAATTGATTGTCGTGGAGCAAATGAATAAATACAAGGCTCGTCTCAAAGACATCAGTAGCCTGGAATTTGCTGAAAATAAGGCAAAGACCAGGCTGTCGCTGATTCGCAGATCCATGGTAAGATTCAAGACGTGCAAGCACGGGGAGATGGGGCCTGCGTGGCTTCCAGGTGTGCGTGTGTGGTGGGAAGAGGGACTGTCCTCAGAGCTTCCCACAAGGGCAAGTGAACAAAGTCGCCAGATCTCAGGATAAGTGCATGTATGGGTACTTACCGTTTGACTGGGAACACCTTCTTTAGTCATGCATACAGAATGTGCGTGATCAAATACCTGAGTGTTTGTAATCAGGTACTTGAATAAAATGTTGGCGACTTAATAATCTGCCTTTTTTTCCCCTTTTTCAGTTCTTACTATGACGATTTAACAGTACCCTGATTTCCCGTTAAAATTAACCCATTGTCATGCACTGTATAAATCTTGTGACTTAAGGATTTTTTTCTCTACTTCTTCCACCATCTCTTCCCACCTTCCCCATGTCGTTTTTGGTGGTCCTGCCAAGTTCTCAGAATCCAGAGAACTCGGTCATTGCAGTTTGATGTGACTCATTGGCTCACGAGGAGGTGGGATTTTACTGAGTCTGCTGTCACCATATGAAGGGTTTTTTTAAGGGTTTATTGTTCGGTATCTTTGTCGTCAGTGAGCTCTATGTAGATAGCTGCAGTTCTCGCGGACCGGTAGGGTCTCAGTAACTGGGAAACCTCAGTAACTGGGAAACTGCTGCTGCTCGCCACTGCCCTTTCTCTCAGCAGGCCTCCCATCACCATGCCCTGTGTCCTGGGGCCCGGATAGACTCCCCGTGCCTTTGTGGTTCATTCAGAGAGGGGCACTAAAATAGCCGTTTCCTGCACCGTGTAACCTGCCTGGGGCACAGTAAATGTTTGGCAGAAGTCTGTCGGTTAAGTAAGTGCAGCGCCTTCTCTGAAAACGACTCAAGCATAGGCGGTTTCCAGGCAGTTAGGTATTCGGTCAAGCTCGTCATAGGATCCGATCTAAAACTTTTCTCTAGAAGTTGGAAACAGAGACCCATTTAAAAGTGGACTGTGTCTGTAGTATGAATTTCAGGAACTCGGTTATAGGAAGCCCAGTTACTAGTGCCCACCCAGGGAGGAAGAGAGCCTTTACTGTGAGTCCACTTTTCAGAGCAGGTGTAGACAGGCCGTGCTTTTGTGCTGGGGCTGCAGGATATGGACGGATTCAGTCCACTGAAAGAGCGAGCCTTCTCTTGGAATGGGGCAGTGACATGTGCATTCTAACCTTCTGCTTTCCTTTTCATGCCCTTCCTAATCCAGAAACCTGCTCTAATTGCAGTTAGATTTATGAGCATAACCCGCAGTTCAGTCTCGGTATGTATTAACACTGCCGCGTGCCCCGGCCGCGTCCCATCCTTGTCCCTCATCCATCAGGAATTGTTCCGCTCTGTCTGTCGCCCATGCCTGTCCACCCTCATGTTCAGCAGTTGCGGTCCCACTCAGGGCCAGCCTCACTTGCCTTCCTCTTACTCCCTCTTCAGACCCTTTGTCTCCTTCCTCGGTGTCATGCAGTCAGACAGCATTCACGTGCAGTATGCTAGTTTGTCTTCTGGTCAGATGAGCCTCTTTCTGGGTCTCTTCTTCGGTTGTCACTAAAAGGTGAGGATGAAAAGCATTAGCATTCAGGCTCCAAGTTGATTTCTGCTGTGAGAGCCACGTCCCCTCCTCTGCCTGACTGTCTCAAATAGCTGTCAGCGCCTCCAGCACCCGTCCCCAGTAATGCTCACACGCTCATTCGCATCTCCGGCTTGGTGGTGTCTCCCCCGATGGAGAGAGATGGCACTGACCTGCTAGCACTTCCTAGAGCAGCAGGTTAGAGCAAGCTCGTGGACAGAGCGTGTTCTAGACGTGAACATCAGAACAGAGCTCCTGCCAGGGGTGTATTGCTGGTCCCCACTTGAGTCCCACTGGTTATCAGAAATGAGGGGGGACGCCAGTGCACATGGAAACTAATTTCAGACACTGCCCCTCTGTGCTCAGCCGTTTCACTGAAGAGCCGTAACCTGTTGAAAAGTACAAATCAGTTTTGTTTTGTCTAGCATCTGCCTCTGAACTCTGATATGTCAGACTTGCCTTTCCCACTGGGTGTCAGTTTTCTTAGCCTCTTGTTACTGTTGGGTCATTTTCAAATGCTGCAGTCTCATTCAGTATTTAAGATTTGGTTCTTGGGACCAGCAGATGGTATAATGGTTAAGTTGCCGGACTCCCATATAGTCGACCACAGCTTAAAAGTCAGTCTGAGTGCATGTACGTGTGTGCCTAGAATCCTAAGTGGAGGATGGAGGAGAAGACTGCAGAGTGGCCATCCCCCCGGAGGGTGGTTTCTCACTTTCTGTCCCTCTGGCAAGCGAACATGCCCTTTAGCAAATTTTTAAAAGGTTTGGTTCTCTTCATATTCAAGTTTTAATCGTAAGTCCGATCTAGTGTTCTTGCTTCCTCCCAGGGCAGAACAGGCCTTAATCGGGGGCTCGGGACTTTGTGGGTGGGTGGCTGGTTTCCATCGGTCACACACTCGGCCCTTCCTCTTTCTCGACCTTTCCTGCCTTTGGTCTTGACACTGGGAAGAACTATAGGGAGGATATATCTGGTTTTCTTACGTTAAGGGTGAAAGCTTAGCTGTCCCAGGATAGTGGTGGCAGGCCTTGAGCGTGGTTGTCCAGCTTGGCTATTGTGGCTTGACGTCAGTGGGCTACAGGAAGGTCGTACCCACTCCTGCGTCCCTTGCCGACCCTCCGCTCCACCTGGTCCCACGGCTGTGGGCGTTGGCAGTCCTCGCTAAGGTTTGGTTACATCTTCTGGCCAGATCCCAACTGGCAGGAGTCTTACCATTTAGGAAGCTGTAAAATCCACAGGATCGTTCAGAGTTTTTTAAAATTCTAAGATTTGAAAACTTGCAAGTGAATCACTGATACCAAATATGGTCATTTTTTTTCATTTGAAATCATAGTCTCCCTTGCTGTAGTTGCAAAGAAAAGGTCGTAGTGAGCTCCGCAGCTCAGAACTCACACCTTCCGGCCCAGCTGCAGCGGTGCCCGCTCAGTGCCGCTGCTTGGAAGGCCAAGGCCACGTCGGAGGCCCAGGTTCAAGCCCCACCCTGCCCTGCAAAGCCAGGGGTAGGGGTGTCTGCTCCCAGCCTCACTCAGGAGGCTGAGGCGGGAGGACCGCGAGCGCATGGCCCGCATGGGAGGAAAGAGTCTGCGCAGTGCACAGGCCTGGAGTCCCGTCCCACTACTCAGCGTGCTGGGGCAGGAGGACTGTGACAGCGAGGCCCTAAAACACTCACACACTCCCCACCAAGGAAAACGGGATTAATAAAACTAATGGCACTTAACTGAAGACGTGAAATGAACGTGACTGTTTCTAGCTGTTGAATGCATGGTAGCAGAAGACGTAACTACCATGATGTTGGGGCCGCCGCCTCGATTCCCGTCGCGGGTGCTGGCAGTTTACCTCTGCTGCTTTAGTTCAACGTCAGCGCGTTTCTCAAGGAGTGAGAAAGGCTAGCAGCATCTCAGTATCGTTGTGCAGTTCGTTCTTACATTGTAGACCCTTTGAAAGGGACTTGGGGACACCCTCGTACTCTCACCTCTCCACCAGGGGTCCTTGGACTGCACCTTGAGAACCGCTGCCCGACAGTGCATATGACACAGCTGCTCACCTCGCTGCAGGAGGGCTAGCGCGCAGCACACACACCGGCTGTGTTGAAAGTGCTCACCTTCTCTTACTCTCTGACAAATGGTTACGTGCAGGCGTTGGGGTGAGGAGTTTGAGATAGCCTGGCCAATCTGTTACCACACCATGCAAAGCAGCCATCTTTAAAACCCTGGATAGCAGTCTCTTCCTAGCAGACTCCTCAAAAGGTGGTCTGGTCATTTAATTCCTTCGCTCGTATTTTTTGTGACTTAACAGAAGACACTTCAGAGTGATCTCCATCTTGGCCCAAAGTGCTGGCTTTGGTGAAATTTCCTGGTTAGCCTTCTTAGATTTGCGCTGTACCAGTTATGTGTAATTCCCTCTAGGTGGCGGGTGGTTGTCCCCACCTCACACACCCAGCCGTAGACAGACCCCGGTCACGTGTGCGTTCTTTGGTCTTCGGGAAGTGTCTGGACCCTCCCTCAGGAGGATAGCGCGTGCCTTCTCCTACACGGTTTTCTGGTGTTACGGGCAGAGGGGCCCGTTCCTGCATCACCGCCGTGAGTCTGACCCTGAGTCTGACCGTCCGTCCTCAGCTGCGGAGGCTGACTCTCATTGATACTGTGTCCGTCTCTCTGCGCATCGACCATGCCTTGCCATTCCTGCATCCTTTCCCAGGAACAGTACAGCATTTCCATTACAAACCAGAACTCTCTTCAGAAGCCTCATTCACGAGGTGTTCAAAAAGTTCGTGGAAAAACGTATTATGAAAAAAGCGCGTGGGTTTCCACTTTTCTCCCAAATGAGCTCATATTTCTGTTACTCCACCAGCTTTTTGAAGTCCCATTTATCTTCTACTCATCTTTTCTGTTACCGCCTTTAGACTCTGGTGAGAATGGAGATGTCAGGCTCTCCTGAGGACTACGTCAGTAGGGTGTGCTCGCCACGCTGTCCCTCACACGGAACATGGCAGTAAACTAGCAAAAATGTTGGAAAGCAGATCACTAGCTACTCTTAAGAAAAGATGGAGAAGGCACAAATCCACAAGTAAAAAATTAAGGACAGGTGGGGCCAGCGGGTGGTGCGGTGGTTAAGGTGCTGGACTCCCACATGGCCACCGTGGTTCATATCCCAGGGACAGGATGGAGAAGGGGTTTCAGTGAGGCCATCCCCTCCAGGGGTGATCTCTCACTTTCCCTCTCACCGTTTCTGTCTCTCGCCAGTGAGCATATGCGTCCTATGACAGAAACCTTAAAATACAAATAGGAAAGAGTAATCATTGGTCACAGTGAAAAGTCAGGGTCCCGTGAGAAACGACGGTTATATTAGTTACCGGTTCCAGTGTAACAGATTGCCATAAACGGATGACTTGGAATAACAGTGAACATCATTAACC